AAAAAAAAAAAAAGGTGGGGTTGTTAACCAATGTCATCAAACAATATGTGTATTACTGTTTCATGAGAAACTATTTGTTCTGTAAGCCTTCACCAGAAGTACAATAAAAAAAAAAAATTACTATGATCATAAAAAAAAAACCACAGGGACAGTCACAGTGAAACACATCTGGGGATTAAATTAAGACACAGAAAAACAGAAGCAGAGGTAGATATAAAGAAGGGTAAAGAGACTAAGAAAATTTTAATAAGTAGAGCAATGGATTATGCAACTGGCTCACTTAGATTATGACCACTATAGTTTTAAAATTTAACAGGTAATTAAAAACAAAATATAATGGATTTTGTTATTGTTTGTCTTTTCCTTTATGCATAATGATGCTGATTAACTTGAATGATTTGGCACTAATTCCATATGGAAGACAAGGGTCTTGAAACCCCAGCTTGCTTCCACTTTTACTATTCTTTTCTATTTGCAATATCCAATTGGCAAGTTTAAAAAAATGTCTTTCTTTTTGTCCTAGATTATGGAAAATTGTCTTCCAGGGTTGTTCTAATTAAAAAAAAAAAAAAAATTGCTTGCAGGGAGAAGAAAGTGCTTTGGAAAATGTTCTATACTAACTAATATAATGGATTTATTTCATTATGATGTTGTTGTCGTTGGTTGCCATCGAGTCAGTTCCGACTCATAGCAACCCTATATACAACAGAACAAAACACTGCCTGGTCCTGCACCATCTTCTCAATCGTTGGTATGTTTGAGCCCGTTTTTGCACCCACTATGTTGATCCATCTTGTCAAGGGTCTTCCTCTTTTTTGCTGACTCTCTACCTTACCAAGCATGATGTCCTTCTCCAGGGACTGGTCCCTCCTGATAACATGTCCAAAGTTACATGAGATGAAGTCTTGCCAGCCTCTCTTCCAAGGAGCACTCTGGCTGTACTTCTTCCAAGACAGATCTGTTCATTCTTCTAGCAATCCATGGTATATTCAATATTCTTTGCCAACACCATAATTCAAAGGCATCAATTCTTCTTCAGTCTTCCTTATTCACTGTCCAGCTTTCGCATGCATATTAGGTGATTAAAAACACCATGGCTTGGGTCAAGCACACCTTAGTCCTCAAAATGACATCTTGGCTTTTTAACACTTTAAATAGGTTTTTTGCAGCAGATTTGCCCAATGCAATATGTGATTTGATTTCTCGACTGCTGCCTCCATGGGCGTTGATTGTGGATCCAAGTAAAATCCAAGTGGACAAGCATGCTGCCAGAATCCCACTTTTGTCCTTTTGAATATATGTCAAATAAAACTTTCTTTTTACTTTCCTAAACTTTATGATGTTTTTCCTCTACAACAGTTATTGGCGTAGTTGTCAAGGATCTCTGAAGCTACCAATCCAGTCAACCTCCAGGAGACCTGTACTGCGGAGCAGAAGCTGGCGAAGAGAGGTCCTATCTTCTGGACCCACATGTTCCCACTCCATGTCCATTCGACACTGATGGGGTGAGTGCTCTTGGAAAACAAACCTTTGCTTATTCTTTGTTGTTCTCTTTCTCATGTTTTCTTCGGCATATTTGAAAAACCGGTTGATTGATTAAGGAGAATCTTTCTTAGATTTTTCCTTGATTGTTTGGTTAAGAGTGACATTTAGTAACTCTTTAAGTAAACTGCAGTTTAAGCCTGTATTCGGTCATTTGAAACATTAAAGAGGTGATTCTATTTTCAAAGAGCTTTGAGCCACTATAAGCTGCAAAAGACTTGGGGCATGGGTCCACAAGTAAAAGCCGTTAGGGTGGTCACTAGCGCTCATCATGAGCGTTAAAGTCTCCCGTGACTGCATAATGTGGTCACAAGATAGGCTAGAGTACTAGGTTGCCTGCCACCCGCAGGAAATATCTTGTGCAACGAAGGTACACATTAGTCTAAGCAAAACACTGTCCAAACCCCACAATGTTCCTCATTAGGTTTCTTTTCTGTGGCTCAGAGAAAACTTGGAGAATAGTGCTCTGTTTTGAAATCTCTCTTTTCCAAATTTAAAATGGGAAATAAGTGAGAGAAAAGTAAAATTGACTGCCCACCATCCGGCATACCTGTTGCCTATATGGTAAAGAATTTTGGCCCTCAATCAGCAAGGTATTTAGAAAAAATGTCATAATTTAACAAAAGAAAAGGATTCATTACAGTGGCCTAAATGGGGGACTTTTGAATTGGCCAGATTAATCTTTTTGAAAGGCAAAATAGAAGCAAGGGGATCAAAAATAAAGCAGAATCAGTGGGAAATATTTTTTAATTGGTAATTTGAATCCTTGAGAAGGTAACAGCTAAATACTTTTGCTTCCGCTCAGGAAAACATTGTTAAGCAATCAAAACAGATCTTGGCATTTGGAGAAAGGTCAGGTAACGTTACTTGATTCCTTAAGGAATAGAACTCCTACAGGCATTAAGGAAGACAGAAAAGACCCAGAGGAAGAAAATAGGGAAAAGGAAAAACCTGCTTCTTTGTATCCTGATTTGACTTCTAGCTCTCTTTTAGCCGAATTACCGTTTCTTTCCAGTGATTCACTGAAAATTGAGTCTCCATCTCCATTAATGCCTTTGGTAGTTAGACAGCCTAAATTAGCAGGTGGACCAGTGGAAGTGACAGTGAACCCCTGGTCCAAATCTGAACTCAGAGCAATCATAAAAGACTTTCCTGACCCTTGTGAAAATCCCTCAGAAATTTTTACATGAATTTATTATCTTGACTAGTACCTATGAACCAGGTCCTTCAGATTTGTATAATCTGTTACGTATGCTACCAGGTTCAGGAGAAGCAGCTAGATGGATGGCTGAAGCTAAGTGGAAGGACCCAGAGGCAAGTTTAATCTCAAAATCAGGGGTTACAGGGAAAGAACTGAGAGATGAAGTTCAGGGTTTGGTTAAGGAATTGATACATGCATTTCTGAAAGTTTTTCCAAAAAAGGTTGATTGGGCAAAAATCCAGGCTTGTAAGCAAGGAAAGGGAGAAAACGTATACGCTTGTATGGATTGTTTCTCCAAATTATTTGAAGAACATTCAGGTTTAAAGGCAGTTATAAAAGAACATCGGCCTGTATTCAACTCCATGTTTTTAGGGGGCCTATTGCCTGAATTAGCAGCTTTGGTAAAAAGACAATTTAAATCGTGAAGATGTAAATCCTTCAGAATTGGCTACAGTGGCTTACAAATTGGCTCAAACCGAAGAAGATAAATATAGAGAGAGTGAGTTAAAAACTAGAGAACAGAAAAAGAAGTTGATGGCTTTGCAGTTATATCAGCTACAAAGTAAAGGCAGTAATGATGAAATCCCGGCCAAGGGACAGCTTCAGACAAATAAGCTCAAAACCGAGCTAACTTGTAACTACTGTAAGAAGCCTGGTCATTTTAAGAGGGATTGTTTAAGACTTAGGAATAAGCAGAGGGTTACTCCCTCAGCACCTCCATTACCACCACAATGATGGTGCTCTAAGGATTTAGGGTCAGGAAGAGACAACACTCCAAGTAAATGGGGAGACTTGTATCTTCCTAATTAACACTGGGGCCACCGTGTTGGTGATCAATCCCACGTGTTTACGAAACTCCCTCCCTCAGAGCAACAAAACTTCTAAAATCGTGAGGGTTTCAAATAAAGAACAAATTTTGCCTCATTCAGAACTAGTACCAATATCTTTAGAACCCATTGACAATTTACATCTGTTTCTTCTCAGCAATGATACCCCTGCTAATCTATTAGGGCAAGATTTATTATCTAAATGGCGATGCCATATACAGTTTACTGATAGTGGAGAAATTCTATTGAACTTTCCTACTTTAGATGATTCAATTACTGAGAGAAAAGTAGAAGAAACCTTGTGTTTTATTCAAGGATTAATGGAAATGGAAGAAAATATAGAACAGGTCCAGAGGGGAGAAAAGGAATTAGAACAAGTACCCACTGAACTTTGGGCAAAGACAACCACAGATGTAGGAAAAGTCTTGTCAGCTGAACCTATTCAGGTGCAAACAGATACTTCTAAACCTTTGCCTAGAATAGATCAATAACCACTAAAGCCTGAAGCCATAGCAGGGTTAGAACCTATTATCCAAGATTTCCTTCGGCAAGGTCTAATTATACCATGCACTAGTCCTTGCAATGCTCCTATTTTTCCAGTAAAAAAACCAAATAATAGAGAGTAGAGATTTGTACAAGATTTAAGGGCCATAAATAAGATTACAATATCTAGATTCCCTGTAGTTCCTAATCCTCATTTACTCTTAGCCCAGGTATGCTTTACAGTTATAGATCTCTGTAGTGCTTTCTTTAGTATCCCTGTTCACCAGGATAGTCAATATTTATTTGCCTTCACCCGGAAAAATCGACAACACATGTGGAGAGTTCTCTCACAAGCATTTACTGAAAGCCCAACTTACTTTTCACAAGCATTGCATTCAGAATTGGCTCCATTTCAGTTTAAACATGGATCACTGTTATTGCAATATATAGACGATCTCATGGTTTGCTCCAACTCAAGACAAAATAATGTTGAAGACAGTACTCTGTTATTATAATATTTAGCTTCTAGAGGGCATAAGGCATCCAAAGAAAAATTACAATTTGCCCAACCCACTGTTAAATACTTAGGATATCTTATTTCAGCTGAAGGTATTACCATAGACCCAAAGAGAAAGAAAGCTATATTAACCTTTCCTTTGCCTACCACAAACAATTAAGAGGTTTTTTAGGTCTTTGTGGATATTGTCAAAATTGGATTCCAAATTTTTCATTATTAGCCCAGCCCTTATATCACTATATGAAAAAAGAAGTGACTGATCCTTTTACTCTTTCTGAATAAGGTGTAGAAGTGGTATACATGCTTCAACAAACCCTTTTAACCACTCCTGCTTTGGGTTTTCCCAATTATGCTTTGAAATTTTCTCTCTGTGTGAATGAACAAAATGGGAATGCTTGTGGCGTTTTAACTCAGAAACATGGAGACCATCAGAGACCTACCTGTAGGATACTATAGTCTTCAGTCAGATCCTGTTGCTTGTGCTTATCCTCCATGCTTAAGGGCAGTAGCAGCAACCGCTTAATAAGTAGAAAATACTGCAGATATAGTTCTAGGTAATGACTTAGATTTATTTGTTCTGCATGTAGTAGCTGCTATTCTCAGATCTACTTTGACTCAGCATTTATCTGTTAGCAGGTTAACCTCTTATGAAGCTTTATTATTGACAGCCCCAAATATTCAAATACATGTTAAATCCAGCTAATCTTTTCCCTGAAGAAGAAGGGGTACCGCATGACTGCTTTGATTTGACAGATCAACTTCTGACCCCAAAAGGGGATCTTTAGGAAACTCCTTTGGCTAACCCTTCTTTCATTTTATTTGTGGACAGTTGTTATTTAAAACCAGATCCCACTTCAAGCAAGTATCAGGGAGGATATGCAGTGACTACTTCCTCTGAGGTATTGGAGAGTGGACCTTTGCCTCAGGTAACTTTGGCACAACAAGTTAGTAGCTCTTACTCAAGCTTGTAAATTAGCAAAACATCAATCTGTGACCATATATTCGAAGTATTGCTTTGGTTTGGCACATGACTTTGGGATGTTATAAAAACAGCGAGGATTTTTAACATCAGGAGGATCTCCCGTTAAAAATAGGAAACATGTAGCTGAACTTTCAGATGCTTTACTGTTGCCTTCAGAAATAGCTGTGGTTGAGATACGAGCAACAGCAGTCAAAACAACAGCCTCAGACTGAGGAAGTAATTGGGAATGAATTAGCTGATGCCGCAGCCAAAAAGTGGCTGGTAGAAGAACCAAAAAACCTAGCCCAACTTTACCTGAAAATCCTTTAAAGATAGTCAAAACAGAATCTATTGAGACTATGACCTCTCCTAAGCTTATACAAAATCAAAAATTAGAAATGCAGAAATCTACCAAGTCCCTATTTTTGAGAATCCAAATTTAGAGATATTAAAAGGGTACCAAAAATTGCCCACCAAAACTGAAATAATAGAATAGAGAGCAGGTAAATGCCATCTTAATACAGAAACTGAATTGTGGATTGGAAAAATGTTACAAACAGCTGCCAAAATCTGTCCAGTAAATAAGAACCTCTATCGCTACACAGGTTATGAGGAGTACCCAACGTAGGAGAATATTTTCTAACAATTTTTTAGCAACAAAAGTTGCAGTAGCATTCAGACAGGGAAATGCTTCTACCCAATGAGAATATTTGCATATCATAATTAAAACATACTTATAATTTTGAACGGGGGGAAGCTGTATAAAATCCATTTGCCACTCAGTCATGGGTCCAGTAGGAAGGGGATATCAACTCTGAGGAGTCGAGAAAGTTTTCCCTGAGTTAAATTTTTGGCAAATAATGCAATCTTTCACTACTTCATTCACTGCTTTCCAGAAATGACCCCAGTAGTATTTTCTTATTTTTTGTAGTTTTATCTCTTCCTAAATGTTCTCCTTGG